TTTTATATATAAACAACTCGAAGAATTTATATGACTTCATAACATAAATTTATTACTCAACTCGAAGAATTTATTGCCCGCATGGGTAGCTCAACTGGTCATAGAGGTGAAACTTTAGAAGAATGACCAGAGATCGAGTCTCATCAACGGTAGTGTGGGAGCAACCTTTCAAATTGAGTGGGGCTTCTTGTGCATAGCGCAGTGAGCATTGGTCTAACCTCTATGGTTTATGTTTAGTTGAGTCACCATGGAGGCCCTTAGGGTTGGGATTCTTCCTTTTGGAAGAAACAATAGGTTTAGTTCATAGAATAGATGTAGTAGTATTTACCTATTTAGTATGTCATTTTATTTCAAAAATATCATTCATAGGATTGAGTTATTTCCCTTCTTGGTATTAGAGTAACTCTAAATTCTAAAGAATAACATATTTTTTTCTTCTGTAAAATCTAATTTGTCTTTTACCTAATTTATTTTATATATTATATTGAATCATGATTGTACTTGGTATTGTTTGAAATGGTTTTCAGTAGTACCAAGTATAATCATGTATTATTAGAAACTACTTTAATATTACATAAGTGTCACTACATTGTAGTTGACATTGTTATCGATCGGCGAGATAAACATTCTCTATTGTTGTTAGTATTATTAGAAAAAAAAAAGGCATTTTTTATTTCTGATTTGTTTTATTTTTGAAAATTTGGTCTCTGTAACTTAATTTAATCAAATTTAGCACCATAACTATTTATAATGTTACACTTTTAGTCCTTAATATTATATAATTGTCGAACTCCATTAACACATGAGGTTATTTTTAACATTTAGAATCAATATTTATTGTTACAAATAATGTTCACATGGAATGATTGAGACTTTAACCATGGATATTAATTATAATGACAAAAATAACTCCATAAAAAAGAATTTGCTAACAGAGTTTGATAATTATATAACATCGGGGATTGAAAATTTAGAAGAGTCACTTCATACCACTAAAAACACCTTAACTTGACTATAACAAGTTATATTACGAAATATCATGAATCAAAATGTTAAATAATTAGAGATTTATGCATTTTATATTCACCGCCTAGCATTTTAACGTTACAAAATATTGAAATTTGAAATAAAGAATACATCATACAACTCAACTTATTCAATAAAAAATTAATTTTTGTTAATCAAATATAATCAACAGAGGAGTTGCATGATACCTATCTCTCTAAACTCAGTATTTAATTCCTATCAGGTGTTAAGATACAGTCCCTGAGAAAATCTATCCGATTATAATAGTGGACAATTATCTTCTCTCAAAATGTTGAATTCCCAACTCCAAGAGCCCCCAACACTCTTACTCGACAGAGCATTTGGGAGGATATAAATCATCGGCTCAGCAGACAGGGCTAAATGTTGGTGCGTACAAGGGATCTACTATTTTGGGCATAATTCTCACACTGCTGCTGCCGAAATTGAAACATTGGCCTCTTATTCCAAATACTGTATACTAAACCATTGAGCTAAACCCGTGCGGGTCATATTAAGGAGTACATGTAGTAGAACTCATTATCAAATTAGGAGGTACATAGCCTCTCCATCCTATTTTTTAATTCAAAATTAATATTTAATATTCAGACTATTAGTTTATACATTATTATTAGTAAATGTAAACATTTTTTTATCTCATTAAAAATCAAATCATCAAACTCTTTTTCTTTTTTAATAAACTTAAGTGATCACATTTTCACCGGACTAATTCTAAGCTCTCATAACCCCGGTCACCTCTAGAGACGTATCAAACTATTATTTGACTTGATTATATATGGATCAAAATTTCTTTACTTTCTGACGTGATGGTAAAATTATTTTTATTTATTAATTACTGTAAATTGATCAACCCAGGCCACTACATATTTTATCAGTACAAACTTAAATTAAACCATAATTAAACTTAGAAAAATCATTAATATATGACTCATTGTCATCCCTAATCCATAGTTTAGTGCTTATAATAAGTTAGACATTTAGGGGTTCATTTATAATTTCTCAAGCTTGCAAACCATATGTATTTAAAGTCGAATTTCCGATCATTAAGTTTTTTTTTTTTTTTTTTTTTAGTCCCATGATATTGGATAGCTTATAGTAAGTAACACCAAGCTAATAATTGACTCAATTACATCCATTTGATGAGTTGAGGTGTCTAATTGAAAATTTTAATTAATTACTTTTTCACCTATATAATTGGAGAGTCTATTTTATCATTTTTTTTTTCATGAAATATTTTTCTTTTTCTTATGATAGGATTAAAAGAGAAGTTGTTCGTACGTGCTTAGCTCACTGGTTCAGTAGGCAACATTTGAGATAAAAGACCAAGGTTTAAATTTCGATAGCGACAATGTGGGGATTATGTTCAAAAGTGGGGACCGTAATTTACATTCTCTGAAATACTCTGTCGGGCTGAGATGAGATGAGAGGAGATGTTGCGGGTATTTTTGTGCGTCCTGCGAAGTAAAAACAAAAGAATAAATTGGTGCACGTCTGGCGCACCAACAAAACTCAGTGGGTGTGTTAAATTTTTTTTTCTTTTCTCTCTCTTTTTCTCTTCCCTCTCTCTTCCACTTGATAAAAAATACTTCACAAAATTTGTGGACCGTTGTGGATGTTCTAAGTTTGTAAAGAGAATGTAGTAGTGAAATTTGATAAGTGGAAAAAAAAAAAAAAAGAATAACCAAGCTGCTTTCAATATATACATATATATATAGAGAGAGAATAGTGCATTGGATTCTCTGATGTATGAAGAGAGAGAAGTGTTTGATGATTCCATAACATAAACCTGACATTTCAGTGGGTAGTGTGTGGTGGAAACCTGTCAGGCTGTCAGAGTGTCAAGGGCAAAGGATAAAAAATGAAAAAACTTTATGTACTTTTAGGGGACGTTTGGTTCGGGTTATATAAGATAATCAATGTTATATTTGCTTGGTAATATAAGATTCTCATGTTTGGTTCAGATTATGTAATTTTCTCAGAGAATGTCAGATAACTTTCGCATTAAGTTTTTAGCTATTGGAAGGGAATGTGAGATACCCTCTAATTTCTTAGGTAATCTCATATTCTCTTGTCTTTTTACTAATGTTGGGCTTTAGACGTTTTAATCAATTTATCTTATTACCGTTGTTTTATTTACATATCCTAGTTTTAAACCAAACACAGGAATCTAACATTCCCAGTAACCTAACATTCCCTAAGGTAATCTAACATTTCGTGAACCAAACGCCCCTTTAGTTTTTACTCTCAAATTTCATTCTTACACTTAAAATTTTAATGTAGACACATTTACAACGGTCCATATGAAAAAAATAGTCTATCGATGCTCGTCACATCATGAAGTAAATTTGAAATAATAAGATTTGAGAGTACATGTAATAGAACTCGTTAAAAAAATAAACTCTTCTATACCTTCTATGTTTTATTGGATTTTTAATTGAGTTTTACTATATATACTCCTAAATTATACTTCCGTATTATTTTATTTTTATTTTTAGATATGACAAATAAAGATAGACTATTTTTATTATATGGGTCATAACGAAAATAGTGAATTTTAGAAGGGTTTTTTATTTTTTTTTTATTTTTTTTATTTTTTTTTATTAATGTGATAGAGGAGAGAGAAGAGAAGTGAGAGAAAAAAATTAAATTTGCAATAGAGTAATTCTACATATACTTTCATTTTCTACTCCCTAAAATGTGTAATGCTTTGATTGCTTAATATAAAGGAGTCATGATTTCTATCTATTACGATAGAAGGGGGTCATGATTTCTATCTATTACGACGGTTGGTAGGTGTGGTTTTTGGGTAAAGATCGATGCCAATTATTTAAAAAATAATAATCATACAATAGAAATCATTCTACCTTAGAACCAATGTCTATGGTATAGATTTTTATTTAAAAAAAAAAAAAGAATATACGTCGGTTATACGCAACAACCGACGTATATTTTCTTTTTATTAAAAAAACATTAAAGGGAAAATGGCACTTTTCCCCCCTGAGTTATATACCTATAGCATTTTTTCCCCCTAAATTATTGAAGTGGCTGTTTTTCCCCCTGAAATGTTAAATGGACATATTTACCCTTAAACTAAATATTTAATTTATTTTTTTTCTCCAAGAAATTATGACCATAATTTGGTTCAAACCAAACAAACACTATAGCACCCAAACCGAAATATTCCAATTACAATTTAGAATCGAAATTCGATATTTATAGTTTATTAAAACCGTGAACCGGAACGGACGGTTCATGTTCCGAACTGAAAAAATAAAATACATTTATTGTTGAATTTAGACTATCTTAAAATAAAAAATAAAAAATAAAAAATAAAATTTTAAAATAAAGACGGTTTAAAATCGCGAATCGGATCCGGAACCGCCGGTTCACAGTTCAAGATTCAATTTTTTTGATACATAATTTTAATAAATTGACATTTAAATATTGGGTTCTAGATCTGAATTATAACCGGAAACTATTAATTCGCTTGCTTTAGTATCCGGTTCAATTCAAACCGAACCGTACGTGGTCATCCCTACGTATACGCAATAATTTGTTGGAGTAGTAAAATAAATAAAATGTTTACTTTAAGGGTATAAATGTCAATTTAATATATCAGGGGGAAAAAACACCACTTTTAGAATAATTGAGGGGGCTAATGTGCTTACCTAAATAATTGAGGGGGAAAAAGTGCTATAAGTATATAACTTAGGTGTAAAAAGTGCCATTTTCCCAACATTAAATATTAAATATCGCTATAAAATAGCATGTCCAAAAATATTCAATACAAACAATTCTTCAACAACAATTCATTCAAAAGTAACTAAGCAAATTTTCAAACAACAATTCATTCAAAAATACCTAAGCAATTTCAAACAACAGTACTTCTCAAGCAAATTAATAGATTCAAAATATACCAAACAATTAACTAAACTAAATGTAATATTATAAACACATCATCATCTAAATGCAATATTACAACCCAACAAGGTAGCTCAAGTGGCAAATGAGCTCTCTTTGTGGGGGAGAATTCTGGGATAACCCGGGTTCAATTCCCACAAGTGACGATTCCCTTTGGGCTAGCTTCTGTGCCTCTTGGAGCGAACCGGGTGGACCTGTCCGGTTAAACAGACAGGGAAAGACCCGGACCACAATATGTGGTTTACACCTAAAAAAAAAAAATGCAATATTACAATCACCAAATTAAAGTTTGGAGATAACTGAACCATATATCTCTATGCAGTCAATTTGATCTTGAGATTGTAGGAGCTGGATCTATCACTCATTCAGTGGCAAGTACTGATGAACCTAAAAGTAGAAAAACAAAACATCAGTTACTGTCCAATACAAATGTTACTTAAATGCACATTGCAGAACTGGAAGATTAGCCTTTTTCTTGCCTGAAGTTTTACCGTGATTCAGATAAATAACTTCAAAAACAAAATATTGACCCAACACCAAAGCCAATAGTATATATGACAAATCAACTAAAATTTGGACCCATAATTTCCAACAGGTAGAACACTGCAAGCATGCAAAGAGAAGAGAAAAAGAAAATCATCATTTGACCACCATAACTAAGTGTTTTGACGAGCTCAGAGGTAAACACATGGGAAGTTTACATACATGCAAATAACCTCCATTTTTTAGTTTGATGTGAACTCTATTGTTATAGTTCCTTTCGACATAAAATATCTCTGAATCAGAAGGCAATTGCAAAGTTGCAGTCACCTGGGTTGTTCGGAACTAAAAGATTGATGATGAGAAATGGACTAATTTATAAAGCATAAACCAATAAACTCATTAAACTACTTATTGATTCATATACAACAATGCAACACTTAAATGAATGAGAAAAGATAATAGGAAATGTTAACCAAACCAAAGGAAAGGCAACAACTTAACACACACAAATTGAATCATGAAAATGACAGCATCAGGCAGGTTTCTGCTAATAACTAGTTTTAAATGGTTTTGAATAAAAATTCGGTCAAACAGTTGTTAAAAATGATTTACAGAATGCGTTTACATACACTATATATCATTGTTCTCATATGGAGTGGTTCTGCTGCAGGGTACAAAAGATTTACCAGTCCATCAATCACGGTGACTTAGCTGCACAAATACAATAACAACATGTTTGTCCAAATAACCCCATTGGAGTTCCAAGAACATTATGTCCCCCTGCCTTTAGCCAGTTTATGAGACACATCTGAATTTTTTCTATAACAGAGCTCCCAACATCAAATCAGCAAAGATGCACCAAAGCTCCTTATCTGTAGAGCACCTCTTCCTTCTCATGTAATTAAATTATTTTTTGCTTCATGGTACTCATTTAATGTCAAGAAACATTTAGCGAGTGCATAATAAGCAATAGGCATTTTACCTCCCTCTGCCAAGAACTATTATGTTGTTAAAACATAGATGCTGAGACCCAAACTTGTGGAATCCCTGAAATGGGAGTGAAATCCCTGAAAACATTCCTCCAAAAGTAGCAACCCATGAACAAGCAGAGAAGCTAAAAGATTTCACATATGTTGTTACTTTACATGATTTGCTGCAAATTTCTGCATCACCTTAAGTGCTGTCTCATCTCCACCTTTAAGTGCAAGTAAGTCGTTTACGAAGAACAATGTGCGCTCATTTGGAGAAATACCCTTACCAACCATTTCATCTAAAAGTAGATTTGCCTCATGACATTTTTTCTCTCTAACAAATTCTTGCAAAATAACATTATAAGTCTCAGTATTTGGTAAGCAATTCTTCTCCATTTTCCTTAACAACTCTAAGGCTTCATCTATTAATCCTTCTCGACAAAACCCACTTATCATTGCAGTGTATGTATACACATCTGGGTGTCGCCCTTTAGAGATGAGATCATTGAATACATCGCATGCAATATTAAGCTGTCCTATCTTGCAGACCTTATCAATTATGATAGTATCATAAACAAGAGAACCCTTTCCGTTTCTATCTAACTGATGATAGACAGATATCGCATCTTCAACAAGTCCATTATCACACAAACCGCTAAGTAAGACATGTGAAGTGTAAAAATCTGCTTTATGTCCAGCAACCAGCATCCCCTGAAAAAGCTCCAGTGAAGCAGAACATCTACCCACCAAAAATAACCCCTGCAACATTGTGTTATACGTAACAAGATTAGGATGAAGCCCTTTTTGAGGAATTTCATAAAACAGATGCATGGCCTCATCCATTTCTTTTATTTTACAGTATCCATTAATTAATGTGTTATAGTTCCTAATAGTAGGTTGAAGGCCACTTTCTACCATCTGACCAAAAACTTCCCTCGCTTCATCCATTTCTTTTATTTTACAGTATACATTAATTAATATGCTATAGGTTCCAACATTAGGTTGAAGGCCACTTTCTACCACCCGACCAAAAGCTTTCCTCGCTTCATCCATCCGTCCTTGCATACAGTACCCCTCAAGAAGAATGTTGTATGTGACGACATCAGGATAAATCTTCCTTTGAATCATGATCTGAATAATAGTTTCCGCACTTTCCAACTTCCCCTCCTTACAGAGGGCATGCACTAATATACTGAAAGTATAGACACCTGGATATACATTATGTAGCACCATCTCATTCATTAACTTCGTAACCTCTTTCCATCGGCTAAAATTGCAAAGGCCTTGAATCAATGAATTGTATGTGAAGATATTTGGGGGAATCCCTCTTTCAATCATCTCAGAGAGAAGGCCAAGAGCCTTATCAACCATTCTGTCTTTGCATAGAGAATCAATTACAGTGCTATAGGCTATAGTATCAGGCTTAGGTCCCTCCTCTTGCATTACTATAAGTAAATCAAGAGCAGTTTGTGTATGGCCTGCCTTGCAAAGCCCATTTATAAGAATACGATCAGTAATTTGATTGCACACATTTTCCCTCACCAACTTCTTGAATAGCCCTACAGCCTCCACAATCTTATTATCCAGAAAGAGGCCCTTGATCAGAGTGTTGAATGTGACCACATCAAACTCAAATCCACACTTAAAGACCACACCAAGTACACAAAACCCACAATCTACTCGACTTGAGCGGCAGTACACATCCACCAGAATGTTAATGGTATACACATTTATTGGGATGCCCTTAATGCGCATTTCTTGAAAGAGGGAAACAACTACGGAATAATGCTTCAATTTCAGAATTCTACTAAGCAATTGGTTGAACATAATAACCTTAGGCAAGGGGCGGGTATGAGCCATTTGACGGAATAAATTGAGGGCATCGTCTAAATCATTAAAGCTGTTTCTGAATTTGGAAGAAACCGAGGAGTTATTATGATTTGAAGAAACCGTACCTGCCTCCGAAGCAAAATTGGCCAAAATGGGAGTAGCGCTTGCTGTTCTTATTCTCCTCCAACTCATGTTACTGAAGAACCAAGACAAAGCATTTATCTTTGTTTTCATTCTCAAGAATGAAGTGAAAGTTAGGTCTTTGAGGAAAAAAAAAAAAATTTCCATCCGACAGTGGAAAAAACTTAGAACTTGATTCTTTTAGAAAGTTAGGGCTTTAAGATACAACTAGGCAATTTATATCCTACCCCACAGCGCGCGTTGCACTGTGCACTCAGATGCAAAATGATGTCGTTTTAAATTTTTTATTTTTTTGAAATTTTCCGTCCCAGTGAATGGCAGTAATTTTTTTTTTAAAAAAAATCCGTTGTTCAAAAATGTACATAATGTTATATTAGAATACACATAATTGTATACATGAATGTACATAATTATATAACAAAATATATATACTCTTTTTAAAAGATAATACACATAATCTAACATAATACATAATAAACATAAACTTTTAACATAATACACATCAACTCTTAACATAATACACACAAATTTTCTGATTCAGATGTACATAATTGTATAAAAAGAATGTAAATAATTGTATAAAAAATGTACATAACTGTATAAACAAATACACATAATTGTGTGAACAAATACACATAATCACAGCAACTTCCTACCGCGCCTCCCAAAACGACCCAAAACGATGTCGTTTTGGGAGGCGCGCGACGCACAGTGCTACGCGCGCCGTGATGTAGGGTATAAGGATTGATACAACTAGCATCTCACCCCGTGCGTCTAAAATTAGACTCAAAATTATCAATTATTATTATTTGTTATTTAGTAATACTAATTACTACTCCCAAATAAAAAGTAGAAAGCATTATGTATTGGTCAACAACAAAATTTGAAAATATAAAATGAAATATTTGAAATGTACTTATAATATAGTTACAATTATTAAAATTGCTAAGATATAAAATTTTAATATTCATAGTTCAATATATTTCGAATTATTAAATATTTGAAACGTACTTATAAGGGAAAATCAACGATTTGATCCCTCAATTGTTAGCGAAATATCAATGTAGTCCCTCAATTGTGTAATCATCGATTTGGTCCCTGAAAATAATTGTTTTTTCAACACTCATATACCTAATTCTCCCATTACCCCTTCAAAACCCTCTGGTGCAGAGGATGATCACTGAAGGTCAGAAGTGACTGCCTTGTATCCTTTGAGTGAGAATTTTTAAGACAGTTGACCAAATGATTTCTTAAAGATGAAGTGCCATGTTTTTTTGGCTGACAACAAAATTGTCTTGAACAGTATAGGCATCTCTCCTTAATCAGATTTTTCTCTTTATCATATATCTTTTCAAACTGCTTCCACACCCCGAATCTAGACTCAACCTCTTTTTTTTTTTTTTTTTTTTTTTTTTTTTGGAACAACAGGAGTCACCTGAGGCTGTTGAGGTATCTCGGGGCCTTGGGGTTATCCCTCCTGAGTTGAAGGTTGTGGTCCAGAACTAGGTTGAGTAATACTCTTCATCTAAAAAGATGGGCATCAACAACATTCAGATTTCAGAGAATTTTTTGTCTAACAGATTAACAGATCAAACATACAAACTATTGAAAGAAATCCAGATTCAGACACTTGTTTGTGTCATCTTCTACCAAGATTTCATATTTATATTTGTACAAACAGTTAAGAACATTTAAGGGTCATACATCCATAAACTGATAATCACATCATATTTTTACATTATAAAGAAATCCAGATTCAGGAACACTATCCAGTTCATCATTATCTGGATTTCAGTTAAGGACTTCCACCAATAAATGGAAATTTCAAGTTTCAACCTTGAAAATTTCACATTTAAGCCTTTAACTTTTAAAGGGACATCACAAAATCACACTGCTTCCACAGTTTCACCATTATCACAGACTAGCAGATAATCAGAATATATCAATATATCATAACATATATAGCAGGTTGGGTGGGATTTGCATACCCCTATGCGATTAAAATGGATTCAACCATAATATATCAGAATATAACACATAAATCATAAATATAAAACTAGGGTTTGGGTTTAAAACAGCTTCCACCAAAATAAACCAGAATATAATACATAAATCACAAATATAAAACTAGGGTTTGGGTTTAAAACAACTTTCACCAAAATAGATCACAATATAACACATAAATCACAAATATAAAACTAGGACTTGAGATTAAAACGGCTTCCACCAAAATATATCATCATATAACACAAATATATCAACATGCAGTGAATAATCATAAATATAAAACCTAGGGTTAGCGATTTACTTATTTTCCCCAAATACTCTCTGGAGAACAAGGGTCTCTAATCAGTAATCACCAGAGAGAATGGCTTCCACCACTCTAAGTCTCCAATGGCCACCGGAGAATTAGACACAGCCCAGCCCACAGGTCTCACCGAGTAAGTGAGTCACCGTCTCGGCGTCTCAGTCTCTGAGAGAGTGAGAGTCTCGGACTACAGATTAGAGAAGAAGAGAGGACTCTGAGACGTCTGAGTCTCTGAGAGAGGATTCACAGAGTCACCGAAGAACGCCATGCGTTGACAAGAGCAGGCAAACAAAAACGTTCAATGTGTCAGGGGCCCTCGCTACAGAAAACATAGTCAAATAGGTGCAACAGGCCGAACCTCAAGGAGGACATAAAGCCTTGCTAAGAATTTCATCCACCAAGGAAGGGATGAAACCCAATAGAACAAGAAAGACTAACCCGAAACCCCCCTTACCCTTAAGAACCCTCGGCAAGGATTAGGAGTCAAGACCTAGGGGTTTGACCCACTAAACCGACTGGGTCCAGACTTCTGGACATCCGAGGGGAACGTGCACGGAAACCATCACGAGAATTCCCCTGGAAGCCATAGAGACGAAGGGGACTTCGACACGGGAAGAGAAGATCAAACGAAAATCTTAGAATCAAACAAAGCCAAGGAAAAGGGATCACCAGTCCGACTGCACGCCACAACCAAGCCCCAAACAGGCATAATCACTCGAAGCCAAGAGTCCTTAGCCCCTTTCCCTCCCCTTGCCAATCAAGTACCATTTCGTTAAAGAATCCGTCCTATCACTCCAAACCTCGCTCTTGATCCCTCATTACAGACAAACCCGTACAAGGTGGCAACCTTCCTTCCTGTATTACGACCTTGAGACATCGACCCTATCCGCCCCTCAACTTTGAAACCTAGCCCTTGCACTTCTTACACCCCTTTTAACCCAGACCAAGAAAACATAGATATATATATGTATGTATATCTACCTCTAGAACTCGTGCTTAAGGATCAATGAACATTGTACGATGGGTCATCCTATGTATCCAAGTCCCTTTTATTGTGCACAAGGGCATGGGACTTGTCAGGACATGAATCTGTGCATTTTTGGGGTCTTTCCCGAAGGAATTGACTATTCCTAGTCACTTTCCCGCGGGTCCCCAACGGGTCCTTGACGGGACCTTGGCGGGTCCTTGGCAGGAGCTTGGCAGGCGGACGACCGCCCACCTCGCGCCCACTGGTACAATGTGCTGATTTCTTAACCCCTCATTTTATTGATTTGTGGCGCACTTGTGTGCCTCGATTGAGGAATGTGAGTCTTGGGTAAGGAACCATGGGCCACCCAAACATAGTGTCCTACGTAAAAGACCTTGACGCACGAGACACCATCGGGAAATCACAATCAATTACATTGCACGAGTAATTGAAATCGGATCCTACGATACAACCGACTAGGGATGTTTGGCGTAAAGGATTGCGCAAACCAAGGAGGCGAGTTGGGAACTCATACTAAGAACCCACGAAAACCTTAAAAGTCAAAATGCTAAGGAGGGACCGGGACTCCTCCAAACCATGGACATCGTTCGAGCAAATCAGAGGACTCCTTACAAGTTGTATGGAATCAAGAACTACGTAGCCCATGGTGCTAAGCAAAAGGGTGAAGAACACATTCGCGCCAAGACTTCAAGGGTCATTAAGGACCCACAAGGAAATGAGGTGACTCGTAAAGTCGCCGAGTCATCCCACAACGAGATTTGGTAACCGACTGCGCTTTAAAAGAAAAAGGGCACGCAAGGACACCTTCATCATTAAAAATAACACAAACAGGGCACAACAATGCCGAACCTCGGGTAAGACATGAAGTCTTACTAAGAATTTCATCCACTAAAGAGGAGATGAAATTCAATAAGAAGAGAAATTCAACCCAAAGTCCATCGACTCCTAAGAGACTTTGGGAAGAATTTGGGAAGTGCGCCCTAAGAGATTGGCTTGGTTGACCCAACTCGGTCAAGACCTTGGGCGCATTAAAGAAGTAAGTGTTAAATCACCACGGGAAATTCCCTCAAGAAAGAAGAGAAGGATGAAACCTTAGCCTGGGAAGCAAGGTCTAACAAGGATCTTAAAGTCAAGCAAGCACCAACACCAAGGAAGGAGGATCATCAGCTCGTCGGCGCATCGTGATCAAAGCATCTAACCAGATTATTCACTTGGGATCGAGGAACCTTAACCCATCCTAGCCGAATTCCTTTCCCTCCCTCGAAAAATCGGCCCCCTTCCTTATTTCAAAACCCTTTCTACCCTTCAGACCCCATTCCCAATCCCATGTTTTAACGATTCCATACAAGTGGCAACCTCACAACCTAAGTTGCAACCTCAAAAACTTGATCCTAATTCCTGATTTCACCGTGTCCTCAAGTTTGAAACCCACTCTCTTAGCCTTGTAAACCTAATCGTTCCCAAAAAAAAACCCAACACACATAGGCGTGCAAGTATACAATTTCCCCGTGGAATACCTTCTCTATAGGACCACGGTTCTTCTCTTGACTCGTTAACCCTGCAATGATTTCCAAGCTTCGGGGACGAAGCTTCTCGTAAGGGGGGGAGAGTGTAACACCCCGTGTTACGGCCTTCAATCCCGGATTAATTATTTAATTAATCCCGTTAATAATAATTAAATATGATTTAATTATGTTAGGTTTACCTTTAATTAATTAGTAAGGTCCACCATGAACCATGGACCCTTACCCGAATAAGAATCTTAAGCCTGTTAGGAATAAAGGAAGTAGGCCTTTTACTATTCAGATTATGATTAGGATCCTCTTTAATTAATATGGTCCACTATGGACCATGGACCCTTATCCCTAAAACAAGCCCTAGCCCTATAAGGAATAGAATTAGTAAACCCATAATATTAGTTCCTAACTAGGACACCTAAATATATAAATAGGGGACTTAAGAGGCACCTAGAAACCCCCACAAGAATAACGCCCCACCTCCCCGAAGAGCTCCAAGAATCCCCCTAGAAGAAATCAAGAAAGCAAGAAAGCTTAAAGAAAGACCCTTCATAGCCAAGGAATTAATTAAGGCTAAGAGGTAACCCATGTCTCAACAAAACCTATTTTCATAGTTATGATTCCCCCTTAGGGTTTCCCCATATTATTGTATATTGCGGATTTGTGATGATATTATTGATGATTGATGTGATGATCCCATGGGGGATCTTGGTAATCTTGATATTGGGAGATTCTCGATAGTTATGGTGTTCTTGATGATTATATGGAGCTCTTGATGATTATATGATGTTCTTGATAGTTGTGTGTTGTTCTTGATGCTTATGTGTTATTCTTACCGGATCTTGCAATTAGAAGACGAACCGTATTCTTGTTGATATAAAAGTAACTAGAACCCTAGGTTGTATCGTATGATATTATTCTTGGTTTATCGGGTGGGGAAATCGCATGTTTGGGTGTTGATTATGTTTAGAAAAGCATGATAGGTTATGTGCCGTTCGTTTCTCGTATTTGATCCGTTAATTGTCTACGTGTTGTCGTTAATTACGTTGTAAAGTGTCTAAGCATGGTTTCGGGTTCCACAATGGTTCCCGGGGCGAAATTGTGTGATAAGAGTCAGTGGGGGGTAGGGGACCCGCCACCTACCCACGGCCGGAAAACACATCTCCGGCAGCGGGCGGCCGGCGGGCGGGCAGTTGCCCGCCGGCGACCCGCTGCCCGGAACAGTAATGCCCGGCGGGCAGCCGGCGGGTGGCCCCCCACCCACCGGCTACCCGCTAGAAAATTATCCCCCTCGGGATCTCGGCTTCCCCGTTTGATGTTTCCCCGTCCCCCGTGGTGTCCCAACGGACTCCGTTAATCGTGCATTTGTCTAGTTTGATATTTCGGGTACCGTTCGTAGGTTTATGAGTCTATTATATTGCATGCTAGTTGAATTGGTATCCCGTTGACCTAGGTGGAAGAAGTATGAACCCCTTAGGACTATTCTTAGTATGTGATGGATCACGCATAGGTTTTGTTATGCGTTTTCTCCCCCTTCCCAATGTGTTAATGTGGGTTGCATGTACTTGCTATGTGTTATGTGTGCATGTAACCCCGAGTTGGTTAAGATCAATCGGGCTATACGGGCAGTCGGGTGGGCTGAGAACCATACCGGCTGTTAACCAGACTGGTAGAGACCGGTCAGGTATATAAATATTATATAGGACTAAGTTCCACTATACGGGCAGTCGGATGGGCTGAGAACCATACCGGCTGTTAACCAGGCTGGTAGAGACCGGTCAGGTATATAAATATTATATAGGACAAAGGTCCACTATACGGGCAGTTGAATGGGCTGAGAACCATCCCAACTGTTAACCAGGCTGGTAAAGACCGGTCAGGTATATAAATATTATGTAGGACAAAGGTCCATCAGTCGGTTGCGATCGGCTCCTCCGTAATGTGAGACGGGGCAGGGCGCTGCGGGGCCGTGTCAGAGCTATATGCGCTGACCCTCATGTATGGGCATGCGATTGGTCCTGTGGCGCCAACAAAGTGTGCTATGTGATGAGATATGGAGGAGCTGTGTTTATGAGTATATTGGGGGATGTGGCTAAGGGATTTATGCTGGGGATTGTTTATGTTGGGTTGTGATTATTAATTGTGCTTATCTTTATCTGTCTTGCCTGTTGTGGATCATATACGCTGGTTATAACTGTTGCTTGTGTCTAGCCTTACCTGTCGAGTCATTCCCGGTTTTAAAGCTAGAGTTCGTAGGATATATCTTCATGCTCAAAATGGTTTTCGTATATCTATATATATCTCTATATGTATTGTATTTCAACGCGTTGGAGTGGGTTACCAGCATCTCTCGCTGAACAGATATATTTGGCTTTTAGGCACAGAAGATTAAGTCACTGGAGTGCGCTAGAACTTAGAAGTAGATAGTTTCCCTTTTGGCCTGCGTGCCACGTTTACGTATTTACGCTTTGAGGATATTAGTTAGTTAGCCTGTGCACTTGGGTTCTCTAGCCCAGGTGTGGCATAGCACCCCCAACGCTTGTATTTATATCTTGGGATTTAATAAGATTCTACCTTTATTATAAGTTTTAAATGTCTTGAAAATCTGGGGTGTTACACTTACATAGATAATGTTGCCTTCCTCTTGCCTCCTATTGTTGTGCTTCCTTTCAATTTCTTCATGAATGTTAAATATAGCTTGTAAATTTGAAATGTGTTTTGTGAAATTCTTTTTGTTATATGATATGTTAGTGTTTAATGGCATAGAGAATCATTATGTATAAGAGATACTAAAATTGGGGTTCTTACATATAAGACATACATCTGCAGAGTGCATGTGATTCTGTAAATATAATGATTTACTTTTGCTTCAAAATCAGACAATAAACTGAATATACCATGTCTGTAATCCCATATATAATTTTTTGCTATGATGATCATACTTTATTCTTGATGATTTTAGGTGTCAATGGCATAGAGAATCCTTGGTAATGCAAGATTACATGTTGCTTGGTATGCTGTTGAAACACTTCCAAAAAGTGTTTCTAACAGTGTGTCCATACTAAGCTTTGTCTCTATACTCTGCATAAGTATTAAAAATGAAAAATGAAGGAAGTTCATACGATAAATCTCAAAAATGGAGGAAGAGCATACTGCAAATCACCGGCCTCTTATTTTCTGACCTTTATCTCTTTGTGCTCTCTTGTTTTCCGCCTTTATCTCTCTTTATTTCAACACAACATATACTATTTATAGGCCTTTTTTTTTTAATCAAAATTCAAATTCAAAAAGATGTAATCATTATTTTTAGCATTATTTCACATAACTTGTAAAACTAGATTATATGTCATTCAATCATTTCAATGTATATCTTTATCAGTGAAAAAGTCAAAAAGCAATTAATAACATTAGAAAATGAAATATAAAAAACAACTAATTCCAAGACCCAAGGTGGGCATTAAAGATGTAAATATTTTTTGGTAAGATATTCTAAAATCTTGGGCGGGTCACTCAAGCAATAAATTGTACATTAAAAAAATAATTTCAAATTATATTCTAAAATTTTGGGCGAGAGAATTGAGCCTGATCTGTTTGGCTTTTTTATATATGGGTTAGGATAATTCTTAAAATTCAAAGCATGCTTAATTTCAAGATATAAATAAAATGAGTTAATTTCAGCAATGATCCTCTGACTATTGTAATTTTTCAAAATTGGTCATCGTCTTTTAATTTGTACGAAATATACTCTTAACTATCAGATTTGTTCTAACATTGGTCCTTCCGTTAACGAATAGTTATGCTGTGCAACCGTGTGCACCATGCATGGTGCACACGGTTGCAAAACGACGTCGTTTTGACTAAAAACGCACGTTCCATCTAAAAAAAAAATTCAGTTTCGATTCTCCTCAACAACATTATTGTGGATATATAGTTATGAATTATTGTGGATATATAGTTATGAATTTGTGGATATATAATTATGAATTTGTGGATATATAATTATGAATTTATGGATATTTAGTTCATTCATTGTGGATATTTAGTTCATTCATTCTAGATTTTGTGTTATTCATTCACTGTGGATATATAGTTATGAACTTGTGGATATATAGTTATGAATTTGTGGATATATAATTCAAATTATGCAAAAATAAATGCTATTGGCCGGGAATCGAACTTGAATTTTTTTTTTTCAAGTGGGACGCGCGTTTTTAGTGAAAACGACGTCGTTTTTGCAACCGTGTGCACCATACATGGTGCACACGGTTGCACAGCATAATTTGCGTCCGTTAACCATCTGTTTGTTAGTTGTTAGTGAAGGGGCTAAAATGGTCATTTCTTGTGATTGCTTTCTTCTTCACTTGCGCAAGGCACTCGGCTTCTCTTGTGAATTTGGTACTGAAACCCCTAGTTCTTACAGCAAGTCCTAAACAGCATGTGTGAGCAGTCCTTCTTGGCTTGGTTGCCGCAGTCTTGGCAGCTAATATGTATTGTCGGTGAGGAGGGATTTGGACATGGGATCCCTGACAAGGAAATGTGTTGCATGGGTTACGGATCAGGGAAAGTGTCTTTCCCATAGGCGAGATTGGGTCCTTTATATCTCGCCTAAGGGAAAGTTGAGATAACATTTCCATTTCACAAATACGGTGGACCACCGTATTTACATATAAACCAGCGTATTTACTTATAAACCAGCGTATTTACTTATAAACCAGCATATTTACTTATCAATCAACGTATTTACTTTTGAACCACCGTATTATAATCTGAACCACCGTATTATAATTTTGAAAAATTATTTTGTAAGATAACTAAATCCAAAATTAACGCTAAATTATATTACTTAATGAATTAAGGTGACCGAGTATTTTGGAGATTTTATGTTCTTGAAATGACTAACTTTAAATTTGTTTCAAAGATACAGAGTACTTATTATGCAAACGTTTATTATTTAAAAAGGAAAAATTAATTGATGCAAACTCCTAAAATAATTTACCATAATGTCAATGATGTTGTTATAATAAAATATAATGAAATTATTTATCAATATCAAAACATGAGTAAAAAGTTACACAGAATAATAACGTAATATTCAAGGTAGAATAAAATTTACAGCCATCTATGAGTCGGATTCATATAAGATATAAAATCATCGGCGTCGTCGCTTGGCTACGTATCTTGCCTTGGCTGTCCCAAGTTCAAACCACCCTGAGCAGATGATTTCCCAACATTACCGAACTGACTTGGGTGGTATGCCGATGTGCTATACCCGTATGCTGGGTGATATGAGCCTTGGGGGTAAGTAGAAGAGGCTTGGGTCGGGTCAAAAATTTGACTAAAGGATGCATGCGTCTGGTGAGGGAATTGAGTGGTTTGATCAAATGAAGTGTATGCTCCCTGAAATGCGGCGCTACCGTCGTTTTGTCCCGGAACAATTGTTATTGCGAGCGCATCCACATCGCCCCCTACAACATTGTCCGCCGCAGCCGGATGTTGCATTCCAGGTGCCGGAGCATCCATGTCCTCATCTACCCTAACACGCCTACATCGCCCGCCCCGTTGCGGTTAACCACGCAAATGGTCTCGCTCACGTCGTCGGTCTCTGCGACCAGCCTCAACAGGTGCGTCCACTGGCTGAGCATTATACATTTCATTTGGGAAGTCCAGTAGAAAACCGTACCCGGCTTGGTCAACATAGGCAGGCAAGGCAACACGGTATTCCCTCCACCACTCAGACTGACGCTGCGTATCATCTCCAGCCTCTTCCGTACCCAAGTTCATTTGGCTCAAAAAGTGCATCTACATGAAATATAACAAATATTAATGGTCAGTTATAATAAATTAAGTAATAGAATAAAATTAATTAACAAACTAACCGTGTCATTTAATGACGCCGTAGTTTGGATATAACCCTCATCTTGGCGGTGCTCAGGGTTACCAATGAGGCGACGACCATGTGTGTGGAACCATAACCGGTATTCGCGCGTGGCATTTGGGTTGTCCATCACGAACATTGCGAAAACATATTCGTGGCGATGGTTCCACCTATCGACATGTGGCGCGAGTATTTGCGCTGCATTAGATGTCCGACCATCAATAGTGTGCAATTGCTGGTTGTAGTGCACGGGGTGCGGGATATTTGTGAGAGAACCAAACTGCCGGCAAAAGCGTGACGGGTAATAATTTTCGACTACATAGCCAAAAATCAACGGAACTTCTGCAGTCTAAATATCCTCTCCGGCTCTGCAATAATCGGGCAAGTGGTGCAAAACCAAACGGTACAGCTGGAACACAAACTGCACAAAACATTAATACTTAATTTAGTAAAGTCCTTAACATTCTACAATTTTGTACATATAATTAAATAGTTCTCAAATAAGATAATAACTTACACTATCAACGTTCACGCGATCTAATTGGTCGCGATATGCATGAACCACGTGGTTCGGCACAGTAGCACAAGCATGTGGACCTCCCCACCTACAATTGCAATTTTAAGAGAAATTACATAAGGTCAAGAAGAGTATACTGTGCTAAGATGAAGTTGTTTTTAAAGAAATACTATTACTACTAACCTTGATGCAAGTGGCAAGTCGTCTCCGTTATGTGCGGGTAAAAAGCCCTGCGGTCTTACCATTGGAAGCCTCTCCCATGCCCAAATTTGCAAAAGGAGTAGACACCCGCAAACATGAGTTTTGTCATGCTCAGAAGCACTGCACAGAGCTCTATACAAAAAGGCCAAAACAGCTGATCCCCAGTTGTACTGACTACACTCCTCAAAATCTTCTAGAAACGGCAGCAAGTAAAGATTTAACAAGCTGTTCGACGTGTCTGGAAAAAGAAACCCCCCTAACACACGTATTAAATACGCGCGCGTTGCAAACGCGACATCATCATCCGTGCTCGCGTCTGTCAACTCGGGAATGTCCGGAATAAGCATCATACTTATTCTTTGCCCTTTAAAAGCTGTATCGGGAGGAATAAAACGCAACAATTGCTCGCACATAATCTGCCATTGTTGTCTAGTCCGTTGAAGTACTCCCGTAATAGCTAGACCATCCACCTTTAATCCAAATAACACTTCAATATCTTGAAGTGTTATACCTACCTCACCGAATGGTAGGTGAAATGCGTGGACCTCCGCACACCAACACTCAACAAGTGCACAGATCAATGAATGATCTAACCTAACATGGTCAATGAGCGCCACACCATAAAAATCGCTAATGCGCAAGTTTTGGATCATTCTGTGATCTTGCGGCGGAGCTAAATTCCCTTCATATCGACAACTCTTTATATGTGAATTGTTTGCAATATTTGCTTCTGTCCAAATAGATCTTGAACGATGACCAGGTTGCATTGTCAGCAAAGACGTGTCGATGGGACCGGGATTGACCATTCTCCGAGCCATAACTACTAAGGTAAAATAAATAAATGTTATGACATAATTCATCAATGAACATATACAATTCTTTTCTCGGCCACAAATGAATTAATGAATTCTAATCTCGGCCACTGGTTAGGCGAAAATATAATCAAATCTAATTACTCTAAATCAAATCTAATCCTGTCGGTCTGATAAGGTGAAAAAAATTTCTATTTTCTCCTAAGCTTTAGGCGTGAATAGAATTTGATTAAAACTCCCTACCTGATCTCTAGCCTGAGTAGCGGAAATAAAAATTCTAATGTCACATTTTCACCTAAGGTTTAGGCGTGAATAAAATTTGA